CCAGCTTCCCCCACGTCAGGGCTAAGGATGGTAGTTCCCACTATTCCTAGCCTCAGGGGACTATGCCATCCCATGTGGTTTCCCTAAACTCTGTCTACGTTCTCGTCAAATGACCCAGTTTGAAGCTCCATCTATCTTCTGCTGGGATCCTAACTGCTACAAGGACAAAGACAGCCTCTTATTGGTCTCTGGAGCCTCACATCCAGCATAGCGCTTGGCATACAACAGGTGCCCAATAATGGTTGAGTGCATGAATGTATCCCCTTGTTGCAGTGTGCCAGTCAGGCCCAGCTATGTCTGAGATAACAGACAGTGGTGGTAATTAACGAGCTCACGGAACCGAGGCTCGTGGGGGGAGAAGGAGGTGCTTGCAAAAGCACAGGTAGTCAGGAGTCTCAGCAGGCTGGCTCACACATAATTGGTTATGACTAGAGGGAAGAGGAGAGGGTCTGAATCTTCCTGGTAAATTGAGAACGGAAGTTTGCCTTTGGAATGTGAAGAAGGAACAACTGATGTGAAAGGTAAGATATGGAAGATACAGAAAAAAGAACTGTCAGGGGGGCGCCTGGCTGGCTCTGGCAGTTAAGCATCTGACTTTTGATCTCAGCTCAGGTCATGACCTCCAGAGGCCGTGAGATTGAGCCCCATGGGCTCTGTGCAGACAGCACGGAGCCTGCTTGGGATTCTGGCTCTCCCTCTCTCTCTGCCCCTTCCCTGTTCATGCTCTCGCTCTCTGTCTCTCAAAATAAATAAACTTTTAAAAAGAAAAAAAACCCTGACAGTTAACAAGGAAAAAGGAGTTGCTGTTAGTTTTTTTGTTTGTTTTTGTTTTTTGTTTTTTGGTTTTTGGTTTTGTTTTGTTTTTTTGCGTCTGCACATATTTATTTCAGGGCAGTGATTCTCTGACTTGGATGCAGGAACCAAATTCGAATAAGCATTGTACTGAGCCTCCCACGTGTCAGGCACTATGGTGGGATCTGGAGTCCTAGGAATGCACGAGACACAATTTCTATCCTTGCGGAGAGAGGAAGATGAACACATAAACAAGTTTTTAAGGCCACCTGGGAAATACTATAGTCTGTGGAGAGTGCAGACAGGTACTGGAAAGGGTACCCAACCCAGTCTGGAGTAGACCGTGTGAAAGAAATCCACAAAGTCTTCCTGAGGAGGTGAGCTCTGGGAGGCGTCTGGAAAGACTCGGCCTTGATTAGGACATAAGTACGGTCAGTAGATGAGAAGTTCAAAGGAGTGAGAAGCTCAGGACACACACACGGACACCAAGCCTGAGATTCAAACACTATGGCCTGCATTGGAAACTGTTGTGTTTTATCATTAGTTTTCATTACTAAAGATAGCATTAAAACACGTCTATAAATAATCCAAAGAAACCAAAAGTAGCTTTCAGAGTGAAAATAGTTTGCTTCACCTTCCTATCAACCCCCTTCCATTCCTCAGAGGTAAATCCCACTAACGTGTGTGGTAGAATAACATTTTGGTATATTAATCACTGTGGTTTTGTCCTCAGTACTTGCTGTTGTTATTTCGGATGGTTTTTTAAATTTGGGGTGGGTTTTTTTTTTTCACTCTTTTAGTCATACTCCCCACATACACACACCATTAAAGCAGGAGTATGAGGCAGGGGCATTGCAGGAATCAAGATGGCACATGGCCCAAGCTGGGAATTCCAAAGACCTATAATAAAAGTAAGTATTCTCGGGAATCCCGAATCTTGATCTTATGTATCAAAGTCAAAGCCCTGCCATATTCGCAGCATAAACAGTAGCCTGGACATAGAATGCATGAAAAAGCCAACTGCTTTGCCACCAGAGATAGCTAGGAAGTGGAGAAATGGAAGGGACAGGACACGATAGGGGGTCTGTGTGAGTCCAGATGAGAGCAGGATGCGAAGCAAGCAACATGTCCACCCAAGGGGAGGTTCAGCCGTCCTCCCTTGTGAGCAGCAAAGCCACCGGGGGGCGAAGGCAATGTCTGCCGAGACCCAGGAGCCATTTGAGTAAGCAGAGCCCAGGAACACTTCAGATGTTCTTGTGCTTGTCCTCTGGCAGGGACTTTCTAGAAACAGCAGCCAGCTGGACAACCATCAACTGTCCAACAGATATGGTGGCTGTTCATGCCTTAGAACCTTCTTGCCCTTTCCAAAGGTTCAGGCCATTTATAGACCTCCAAGATGGAGCCAGGATACACAAGAAGCGGTGATGTGGTAAAGCAAGCCTCGGCATCCGTTCTGGTTGGCCTGGAGAGAGCCAGCTGAGGCCTCTTTATCGCCGGGCAGAGGTGACCACAGCCCAGGAGACATTTGTACACAGATGCAGATTATTGTTCAACTCCCGTTGGTCATACTGCATAGACTATTCCATGACTTAATAGTTTTAACTTTCAGCACCTGGACCAGTTTGGGCAAAGCAAATCCCCAATAAGCATTTGTTGAATACATGGACAATCTAGATAGTAGTGATCTTTCCCTGTAGAAGGTACAGACTTCTGTTATTCTTATTTGTTTTTCTTTTATAGTTTATTGTCAAGTTGGTTTCCATATAACACCCAGTGCTCATCCCAACAAGTACCCTCCTCCATGCCCATCACCCTCCTTACCCTCTCCCCCACCCCTATCGGCCCTCCGTTTGTTCTCAGCATTCAAGAGTCTCTCATGGTTTGCCTCCCTCCCTCTCCCCAACTATTTTCCCCTTCGCCTCCCTCATGGTCCTCTGTTAAGTTTCTCCTGTTCCACTTATAAGTGAAACATATGGTATCTGTCCTTCTCTGCCTGACTTATTTTGCTCAGCACAACACCCTCAAGGTCCAACCATGTTGCTACACATGGCCAGATTCCATTTTTTCTCATTGCCATGTAGTATTCCATCGTATAGATAAAACCACATCTTCTTGACCCATTCGTCAGCTGATGGACACTTAGGCTCTTTCCATGCTTTGGCTATTGTTGGCAGCTATGAACATTGGGGTTCATGTGCCCCTATGCATCAGCACTCCTGTATCCCTTGGGTAAATTCCTAGCAGTGCTATTGCTGGGTCCTAGGGGAGTTCTCTTGTTAATTTTTTGAGGAACTTCCACACTGTTTTCCAGGGGGGCTGCAACCATTATTCTTATTAAATGGCTGCACAGTACTCCATGATATGATGCAATCTATTTAACTATTTCCCCACTGGAGAACATTCTGGAAAGTGTATTTCTGTTGATTAGATACCAAGTATAATTGCTGAGCCGAAGTGCACAGACTTTTTGATAGATATTGCCACACTGTCCTCCAGTAAGGATATACCAGTTTATACTCAGCAACGGTAAATGGTATGAAAGTAAATGCTGACTGAGAGTTTACTGTGCCCAAGGCAACTTCCCAAATATTCTGCATGGTTGCTTAAGGTTATTCCTTCAAACAGCTCTTTAAGGTAGGTATTTTTCATCTTCATTTCACATTTTAGTTAGACATGGAAGCACAGAGAAGTCAAACTACTTGATCAAAGCCATGGATTAGTGAACTGGACTCCAGAGTGTATGCCTTTAGCCATGTATCTCTCTCAGGAAGGGCATCTGTTTTCCCACATCCTCAGTAATAACAGGGGCTTATGCCCTCTGTCCATCTCTTAGGAGATAATGTGGGTGAACATACTGGATGAGCTCAAAAGTGGATGTAAAGGATAAAAGATTAGAGAGACTTGATTCCATGTGGCTACTTCTCCAGTAGACCCAATTTTTACTATTTTTTGTGACTAAACGAAAAGTTGTAATGTCCTTGCTGACAGTGTGAGAGTATCAGCAAGGGATATGAGCCGCAGACAGCAGAATCCACGCTAGCTTATTTCAAATGAAATGGATTTATCATGCGCTATCCAGGCTTACAGAATTTCCCAGAAGGCCAGAACCAAGTTTGGCGGCCAAATGGCCAGGAACAACGCCACCAGGAGACATACCCAATCACACTAGATGCTGTCTGATGCCAGGAAACCTCTTTTCTGCTGCCGAGAGTAAGGGGCATCACATGGTTGTGTCGGGTGCTCCTGAAAAATCAGTCTCCACTGCGGGGCCCTAGCTCCCCAGGGGCTGCCAGCTCATCTTATCCACTCCACCTACTGAGTCTCTAGTGGAAGCTACTTGCAAAGGAGGCTGCGAGTGGATTGTTAGCTTGCTAGCCTCTGAGGTATAATCCAGAAGGGTCTGGAGTCCTGTATAAATGGCAGAACCTGCTATCAGCACACACACTTTTTCTCCCTAAGCATTCTTGCCCTCTGTGAATAAGAGGCAAGGGGATGTGATCTATAAATACCTCTATTTTTCCTGAATTTTCCCTCTTGCAATATGTCCTGAACACGAGGGTGGAGCTATCAATGAGAACCAGTGGCTCCAGTTGGGAAGAGAACAAAGAGCCGAAGTGGACCAGTAAAGGTTTAACATTCTCAAAGCAAGATCATTAGTGGTAACATCCCCTCCCCCCCCCCCCCCCCGCCCCAGAACTGACTCCTCTGCACTCTCCACCATCCCTCCTGTCTGCATGGCTCCTATAGGACCTTTCTGATTCGTGTATTCTCCTTAAGAGTCTTTCACAACCACATTTCCCCCAACCAAATGGGACTGATCTAGGGATGGGCACCTGACCCAAACTAAGACAGTGAGTGCCTTTACTGATAGCTTTGAGTTTGTGACTCAGTTTGTGGAACCCAGAAGATATGAAACTGGGAGCACCATTGGGAGCCCTGTCTCTTGCATGTAGAGGAGGAAGCCAGGCTGAATTGAAAGAAATGAAGCCAACCCAAATGAGGGAAGATGGTCAGACAGAGAGTTCTAGTAAGGTTTGAGCTTCTGGTTCAAGTGGTTCCTGAGACTCAACGGCATTATGGCCTTCCTGTGACTTCCCATATCTGATCAAGTTTAAGACACCATCAGTTAAGAGATGCACCACTTTGTTAGTATGTATTTTATGTAAATACACTTGCAATTAAACCATAATGTGCTATCAAGTGTTAGACTCATCTTATTTCAGAGATATTTTTAAAAATTGTAATGCAAATTTTAGAACCAATGAAATAGTTATTCAGCTCCTCCTTGGAGTCGAAGCAAATTCAAGTCAGTTTGCTTGAGTTACACTCACAACTAAAATATTATGGACTTACATAAGTGAATATAATACAAAGATAAGTTCCGACCTGGGAATAGGATAACGTGAAAAGGATATGGAAGTAAGTATTTCTTAAGGGAAAAATTATTTCATGCAAGCATTATAAAGAGCATCAATTACCCTGGATGTAATTGCAATCGCCAGAGTCCTCAGCATCTTCATTTGCTCCTCCAGTGTTACTTAGAGGCACCTAGTGACCCATCTTGAAGTGAAGAATAACTGACAGTAACAACACTTTCAAGCAAGTCAATTAAGGTGTTTTCCTAGAATTATTATTCATAAACACAATTTTGAATATTGGTTGATATACATGAGCATTTTCTCAAGTTAAAAGAAAGTCCTCGGAACCCAGCCTCCTAATATAATTCAATTGTTTTCTAACAACTAGTGATGAATGAGTGATTCTAACTGAAGAAAGCCTTGAAACTCCACAAATAAGCAAACTTTTCTTGGGTAACAACACAATTTGGAAACTCAGATTTACCTTCGTCAGCGCAGGTAAAAAGGGCCCTCTCTGAAGGCTATGGAAACTTACAAACTATTAAAGATGGTTGCCCCACCAAAAAGCATTTCTGGAGCTAAAAGAGAACTCATTCTTACGGATTCAACTGTCCCGTAGCCCACTTTTACTTTAAATTTGGCTTGTGGTATTGCTTGCTGCTGCCGTAGTGCGAGCTGTGAACTTGCACAGTTTGCCAGATGGCGGTGGGAAGCCCATTAGGTATGCATCACACATCCTGATCAAAACTGAAAGAAATTATGCTCAGATTGAGGAGAGACGCTTGAGAGTAAGGCAATGATTAGAATTTTCTGTATTTTTACAGATTTCACATAATCATTGTCCATAAATAAACTCATTCTTATGATCCTGCAGACCTAAATCTGGGATAACTTCCAAAGGAGCTCCTCTCGTGGTTTGGGTCAAAATGTGCACGTCCCCATGATATTCATTAGAGAACACCATAGAACTGATGCCCTTTCAAGGTTATCTAGAAAAGTCTGAGAATCAGAGTGGAAGCTAATACATTAAATGTTGTGCCTTTCAGAGGAGGTCTGTTCTTTCATAGGTACTGGAGAGGAAATAGAGGGATTCAGTTACAAAGGAAGCTTATTAGAATCTTTGAGAGAACAGGCTTGATGAAAATAAATGGGAAATGCAGTATATAAATACTGCTGATAGGAAAAGTCTAAGTAGTATTTTAAAAGGGGCTGAGGGACCCAAAGTGTAAAAAATAACATTATCTGATTGTAAAGTTTATCATCTCTGAAATAAAATATAAGATTGTGTTTGTTGCTGAACAAAATCATGAGATCGTATCATAATCATACATTACCAGTTATCTGCGGAGTAGAAGACATTTATATTAGGGCTTGTTCTAATGTACTCTCGGGAGAAAAGATCTTCCTTATTGTGGCTTAAGGAGAGACAATCACTGTAAATACGTCCATAGAAGCCAGTCCCAGCTCCGCTTTGAATTGCCTTTTTGGCAAGGAGTAAACAAATACATTTTTCTAGTTCTCAGTTTCCCCATCTATAAAATGGGGTGGGAGGGGGATGCTGGTCTTTCCCCACCCACTGGGATGCTGTGAAGAAAAATGTCAGAAAGAGACATTTCAAAGGGGGAAAGCTCTGTCTCAGATGAAGGGAAGAAAAATCTGCCCTATCCCCACATTTTCTGAGAATGCTAGACTAAATCAATAGACATTCACTGAGCGTCTATTGTGACTCTAACAATCTTTGTAATCCAAAATCAGCCTGAAGGGAACCTGGAGGGCCACAGACAAGCAGCTGCAGTAACAGAAGCATGGTAAATAGTGTTGGTGCCTTAGCGGCATGTGGCCCTCCAGTTGTGAGGGTGCAGCGTGTGTAGACTCCCTGTTCTTGTGAAGCACGCAGTCTAGTGCCCAGGGGAGCCCTGGAACTGTGTGCTTTCCAAACCTGCCTCTGTGTCGGAACCACCTAGGAAGCTTCCCCCAAACACCCAGATCTGCTGCTCCCCAGGCCTAGTGAATTAGAGCATCTGGCATGGAGACGGGAGATTGGTAGAGATGATTGGAAGACATCACTGGACTTCCCATTTGAACTTGATTCAAGGGTGGCTCTGCCTTTATTTATATTCAGCAGGATGTTGTTTGAAGAGACTTCAGCATCTAAAACAAAACAAAACAAAAAACTCTTTGATGTAAAAAAAAACATAGGTTTAATGTGTTCCACAGAAGCAGGAAATTATTTCCAGAGTTTCTTTCCTTCATTCAACAAATATTTATTGCACACCGGTTGTGGCCTGGGGTCTTATAACAGTCTACACCCATTTCCAATGTGGGGGGAAAGGAGTGCATCCCACAGACTGCCCCCACCCCACCCCTACTTAAGATGCCCATTGGCTTATCACCTGTGGTTCTGATCAACCAGTTTATACACTGGAGGTATCAATGACTTCCTCCTTGGGACTCATTGATTTGTTAGAGTACCTAACAAAACTCAAGGAAGATACTTTACTTACTAGAATACTGGTTTATCACAGAAGGATGTAACTCAGAAGGTATGAGGAAAGGGCATGGCATGCCCATGCTCTCTCAGACCCAGCACTCTCTCCATATCTCCATGGGCTCGCCAACCCAGAAGCTCTTTGGTTTTTTATGGATGCTTCACTACTTAGTCATGATTGATGAAATCACTGGCCATTGGTGACTGATTCAACCTCTGGTCCTTCTCCCCACCCCAAGGTCAGAGGTGGCACTGAATGGGAGCACTACCCCAGAAAAGGGGACAAAGACCAAACACCTATTTCTTATTATAAAGAAAAGGACAAAGTCCCAGTTCTTCTGAAGCTATCATCAACATAAACTGAAGATTATCCAGGCCCAGAGGTTGTGTTTTCCTAGGTTTTATTCTTTAACTGAACCAGATGTTCTTCTCATAATTCTACACATTCTTCCTTACGCCACCCCCTTTCCGCCACCTTTCTTCCCTCCAGAAAGTCATTTCTATTTATTTGCAAACACAGATTTTAGCGTTTGCTCATCTGAAGTGTATTAGTCCCTGCAAATCTCTGCCGTTGGTTCTGAACCAGGCAGTGTATAAAGCAAGTACGTCTGCATAACATGTGCTTGTTCCCTGGCTTTATTTCCTTCTGTTTTATATTCAATATGACAGGTCAGAAATATGTCTCAGAGCAGGATGTTTATATGTACATACCCTAGGTAGATGTGATTTGATGGGCGATGTAGACATAATCAATCAATCGACAAATATTTATGGAGATGTTCCTGAATGTATAAAACAACGTCCTCATTCCCAAGAAGCGTATCGAGCTTCCTGCGAGGGGTAACTCAGAAGTTATAACCGAGACCTACACTCTCCCTGCAGTCATCTGAAAGGAGAAGGAAAGATTTTAAAGGTGAAGGGCAAATTATTTCCTCTTGTAACCCAAGGCCAAAATGATGACTGCCACATAGTGAATAGTTCCACATTGGGGGCGGGGGGGGGGGCATTGCAAGAGCAGAACTAGTGGGTTCCTAGAGGGATAAGCCTTTCACTGTTCCTGGTGGGTATCTCACCAGCTTTGGGCAGGAGGAAAATGGTTAGCTCTAGGTAAAACCAATGAAAGGCAAGGTCGTTCTCGGAGTGTCCTTTTCTCCTTTGTTTTTTCCTGCTCCCTCTCTGCTGGGCTTTCTCCTTAGCACTGATTCCCATCTTCCTGCTTCTAGAATACTGCTATTCAAGGCCCCATTGTGCGTTCTCCCTCCTCACCAGAGTATGAAGGTAGTATTCGTACCCACCCCTCCTCCATTCATCGATGAGGTGGCTCCACTTGCTCCTTGGTGGGTGGACCTTTATTCCTAATTGCTCCAGAGTGTCACTCCCAAAGCTGGCTCACCCAAGGGAGAAGGTGACCTTCCTAGATGGAGAAGGACCATTGTCCAAGTAAGAATGTTGTCCAGGTAAGAATGTTGTCCATCTAAGAACATTATGCACATAAGGATGTTGTCCATATAACAAGTCTACCGGTCTTTCTAACAACACCCCAAGCTCTTATGATTGTAATTTCTCCACCAGCAAATTTAGCCTCTCCAATCCAGATTCTTTGACATTGCCAGTAAATTTTAGCAGACCAAGTAAATTATTCCATGCTAACCAGCCAATGGGACAAGAGCCACGGAGAATTTAAACACTCATCTTCTGCCTCTCTCAGGTGTCTGAATTACTATAATCTCTGAAGTCACTCTCCCCACCTTTGTTCTCTAGCCCAAAGAAATTACTCTAAGGGAAGGAATGATAGGTTAGGGTAGTAAGGATAGGCGATATATTAAAATTGGAAAGACCTTCACCTCATACTATTACATAGAGGTCATTCCCAACACAAAAGTAGTTCAATGAAGAAATTCAGCGACCTTCTTGCAGGCTTCTTCTGCAAGGAGAGAAAAAAAATTAATATATGCTTCAGGTAGCATCCATGTTTTATACATTTCCTACCAGAGTTTAAGTCAAAAACGGTTCTCATACAACAATAATGTGTAACTATTTCTTATATGTTTCCAACAAAATAACCTCAGAGTTTAAAAAAAAATTATAACAAAACATTGAGGGAAATAACTTCAGGGATTAAATATTGACTATTTGCTCTTAAACCAAGGACATACTATTTTTCTTTGACCTCTTAAATCCTCATTGAGTAACTGAAAGATAAAAATCATATTATTTCTGGCATTTTAGAAAAGCTTCTGTTTTGTCTTGAGCAACTTAAGATATAAACAGAAAATGTCATCCTGACCAAAAGACTATGGTTATTTTTTATGAAGAAGTTGTTAGCAAAAGCATTTGCCTCTGTTATGTAGAATTTACCTGGTATATTGGTGCCCTGGAACGGCTGGACTTTGTGGCTTAAAACAACAGAAATTTATGGGTTCACAGTTCTGGAGGCTAGAGGTCTGGAATCAAGGTATTGCTGGGACCATGGTCTTTCTTAAAACAGTAGGGAAATCCTTCCTTATCTCTTCTAGTTTCTGGTAGTTTCTTGGCAATCTTTGGCATTCCTTGGCTTGTAGCTGCACAATCCAATCTCTGCTTTCATCATCAGATGAATTTTCCCTGTGTCTCTGTGTTTTCATCTGGCTATCTTCTTATAAGACCACCAGTCACATTGAACTGAGGGCCCACTCTACTCCTGTATGACCTCACTTAGTTTAATCAATTATATCTGCAATGACCCTATTTCCAAATGGAGTCACATTCTAATGTGTCAGGGGTTAGAATTTTGATGGTGTCTTTTTTAGGGGGACACAATTTAACCCACAACATTTGGGATCTGCAGTCTCATTTGAGAATGACTTGGAAACCAGGCACTGCTCTCTGGAGAAGCTGGCTACTCAGTTTAAGCCAGTGTTCCACTTTCGAGCTGTGTGTATAGGCCACTGGGCTCCCCTTTAGAGTGGCACGGGTTCCAGAAGGATTCTTGAGTCAAGAGTGTGAACATTCGAGCCAGAAATTTGGCTTTGCCATCTAGCACGTATGAGACTATACTGGACGTTATATCTCTATAATCCTCTGTGTTAGAGAGGGTAAAAATACCTAGGTTTTTCAGAAGGTTAAAGACACCACTGTGTTACAGAGGGTAAAAGCACCTAGCCTAGCTCTTTGTTGTATATATATATTTTTTTAATTAAAAAAAATTTTTTGGTTAACATTTATTTATTATTGAGAAACAGAGAGAGACAGAGCATGAGCATGGGAGGGGCAGAGAGAGGGGGAGACACAGTATCCGAAGCAGGCTCCAGGCTCTCAACCGTCAGCACAGAGCCCAATCAGGGCTCAAACCCACCAGTGGTGAGAGCATGACCTGAGCTGAAGTCAGACACTCGACCGACTAAACAACCTAGGCGCCCCTAGTTTTAAAAATTTTAAACAAGTATGTACCCATATATTACTTGTAAAATTAAAATATTTCAGTGTAAAAGCAGAAGACTTTATAATCTGTAAAGCACTCACAAATTCAGATGATTTTACATTTGATAAATCATATCCAATGTCTTTTTTAAATTTTTTTTTTAATGTTTTATTTATTTCTAGGAGAGAGAGGGACAGCGTGAGCAGGGGAGGGTCAGAGAGAGAGGGAGTCACAGACTGAAACAGGCTCCAGGCTCTGAGCTGGCAGTCAGCACAGAGCCCGACGCGGGGCTCGAACCCACAAACCGCGAGATCATGACCTAAGCGAAAGTCGGACGCTTAACCGACTAAGCCACCCAGGCGCCCCAAATCATATCCAATGTCTTAAAAATTGTAGTATTCCTTCCAAAGTGCCTACCCCTCATCTTAGATTCCTCTTGTGCAAAGACACAGCATTTCAGGTAATTGTCCATCGCACTGCCGCAGTTGCACATTGTACCTCTTTCTTTTCTTCTTCTTGCCTTCCACCTTTTGCATTTGCTGTTCTTTTACCTTTCCTGTTTGTTTCTTGTAGAGCTTCTTCTCTACACAAGGGCATTCCAAGAAGCACCAGGATGCTCTAATCCACCTGCCCACCCTTGACATTAGGTTCTATGTACCACACAAGAGCAGGACTAGTGAGTAGCTAGAGGGAGAAACTTTCACTTTTCCCCATGGATATCCCTCCAGTTTGGGGCAGGATGAAAGTAAGGTCAACTCCATGATACTCTACATAGAAAACCCGACAGACTCCACCAGAAGCCTACTAGAACTGATCCAAGAATTCAGCCAAGTTGCAGGGTACAAAATCAACGTACAGAAATCGGTTGCATTTTTATACACCAACAATTAAGCAACAGAAAGAGAAATCAAGAAACTGATCCTATTCACAGTAGCACAAAAAAACATAAAATACCTAGGAATAAACCTAACCAAGGATACAAGAGATCTGTATGATGAAAACTACAGAAAACTTATGAAGGAAATTGAAGAAGACACAAAGAAATGGAAAAACATTCCATGCTCATGGATAGGAAGAATAAATATAGTTAAGATGTCATTACTACCCAAAGCACTCTACACATTCAATGCAATTCCAATCAAAATTGCACCAGCCTACTTCTCAAAACTAGAACAGACTATCCTAAAATTTGTATGGAACCAAAAAAGACCTCGAATAGCCAAAGTAATACTGAAAAATAAAACCAGCACAGGAGGTATCACCGTCCCAGACTTTAGCCTCTACTACAAAGCTGTCATCATCAAGATGGTACGGTATTGGCACAGAAACAGACACATAGACCAATGGAACAGAATTGAGAACTCAGAAGTGGACCCAAAAGTATAAAGCCAACTGATCTTTGACAAAGCAGGAAAGAATATCCAATGGAAAAAAGACAGCCTTTTTAACAGATGGTGTTGGGAGAACTGGACAGTAACATGCAGAAGAATGACACTAGATCATTTTCTCACACCATGCACAAAAATAAACTCAAAATGGATAAAGGACCTGAACGTGAGACAGGAAACTATCAACACCCTAGAGGAGAAAGCAGGAAACAACCTCCTTGACCTCCACCGCAGCAACTTCTTGCTTGACACATCCCCAAAAGCAAGGGAATCAAGAGCAAAAATAAACGATTGGGACCTCATCAAGATTAAAAGCTTCTGCACAGCAAAGGAAACAACCCACAAAACTAATAGGCAACCAACAGAATGGGAAAAGATAGTTGCAAACGACACATCAGATAAAGGGTTAATATCCAGAATCTATAAGGAACTCACCAAACTACACACCCGAAAAACAAACAACCCAGTGAAGAAATGGGCAGAAGATATGAACAGACACTTCTCCAAAGAGGACATCCAGATGGCCAACAGACACATGAAACGATGCTCAGCATCCCTCCTCATCAGGGAAATGCAAATCAAAACCACACTGAGATACCACCTCACGCCAGTCAGAGTGGCTAAAATGAGCAAATCAGAGAACTCTAGATGCTGACGAGGATGTGGAGAAATGGGCACCCTCCTACACTGTTGGTGGGAATGTAAACTGGTACAGCTCCTCTGGAAAACAGTGTGGAGGTTCCTCAGGAAACTAACAATAGAACTCCCCTATGACCCAGCAATAGCACTGCTAGGAATTTACCCAAGGGATATAGAAATGCTGAGGCATAGGAGCACATGTACCCGAATGTTCATAGCAGCACTCTCCACAATAGCTAAAACATGGAAAGAGCCTAAGTGTCCATCATCGGGCGAATGGATCAAGAAGATGTGGTTTATCTATACCATGGAATGCTACATGGCAATGAGAAAGAATGAAATCTGGCCATGTATAGCAACATGGATGGACCTTGAGGGTGTTATGCTGAGCGAAATAAGTCAGGCAGAGAAGGACAAATATCATATGTTTGCACGTATAGGAGGATTAGGAGGAACTAAGGACCAAGGGGGAGAAGAAGGGGGCAAATGGTGGGGGAAAGACTCATGAGAGACTCTTGAATGCTAACAAAAACTGAGGACTGATGGATGTGGGGGGGAGGGGGGATGGGCATGGAGGAGGGCACTTGTGGGGATGAGCACTGGGTGTTATGTGGAAACTAATTTGACAATAAACTATTTGTAAAAAAAAAAAAAAAGAAAGAAAGTAAGGTCAACTCTAGGCAATAGTAAATGAAAGGAAAGTTGGCTCTATGAGTTTCCAAGTATTAAAAGCAAAGACTTAAAAAAGACTTCCTGGACAGGCCTGAGTCACCTTGCCACCTCTGGAGAGGGGGTAAAAGGGCTCAGCTTCAACTAAATCGCAGGGTTCCTGGCAGCAAGCAAAAGCAGCAGATGCTTTCTGTGTATCTATACATGGGTGTCAAAGACATATAAACCCACATACGTCTACTTATCCAACAAACATTTACTAAGCAAGGACAGAATGCTAAATACCGAGAGACAAGGTTAACTAAAGAAAAATATCTGCTCTGAAGATGTCCACAGTTTAATGGAAGAGAAAAAAAAAACAATTAAAAAAAACACTAATAGGTTACCATTTTAATTCACATGCTGTGGAAAAGACAAGGCGTCTACATCTGCTTGGGTAGCCTGGTCTAATTCACTGTGATATCTCACTTAGATCAGAGGTTGGCCAACTTTTTCTGTGAAGGGTCAGATAAACATTTTCACCTTGGTGGGTTCAACTGTGGTGCAATGACTCAACTCTATCCTGTAGACCGAAGGCGGCCATAGACGATGTGTAAACAAACGGGCTTGCCTATGCTCTAATAAAACTTTATTGACGAAAACCAAACTTTGAATTTGATTTACTTTTTACTGTGTCTTGGGACATAGTCTTCTTTTGATTTTTCTTCAGCCATTCAAAAATGTAAAAAGGATAAAAAACCATTCTTAGATTGCAGGGCATCTAAAAGCAGACCATGGGCCGGATTTGACCTGGAGCATGGTTCGCTGACCTGGATTATTGCCATAGTC